CCTGTAGTAAACACAAGTGGACTATTTGGACAAAAATTCTTTCATAGAATGGGCAGGACTCCCAGCACGTTTGGATATTAAGCTAACTAAACTCTTTAATAATGTATTACCATTAAACACATCACAACATATTAATTGTTGCCAAAATTATTTATAGTTAAATGTTCTTGGATGTGTGTCAGCCTTTTCCTGACCTTTTCCAGCCTGCAGGCACTTTTAGAATTCTGACACAGCGTGGTGGGCAGGGCCACAAAATGGCTGCCATGGCTGACCTTCCGTCACACAGCGAAGATCCTTCTGCTCTGCTGCCAGCTACTGCCAAAGCATTTTTTTTAAAAAAAAATCCACACCGCTAATCAGAAGCCTTGCTGGAAAAAGGCTCCACTTGGTTCCGCCCACTTTCTAAAAACCCTTGGCATGGCAGTGTCAGGTATCACGAATCAACGGAGTCTCTCTTTCAAGAAAGGATGACTTTTATTGAAGACATGATTCACTGAACAGTTTCTCTGTTCAGATTAACTCACACACCCTAGTACACAAAGGTTAAAGCAAATTCAAAATGGGGACAGCCAATAACCAGGATTCCCGCTCAGTCACATGGAGCCTGGTTTCGCGCTTAACTCTTGGGAAAGCAAGGGCCAAAGCGTTATCATAACAAAATGCTTCACACAGATTCTACTCATTAAAAGCCAAGCAAGGGGAAAGAAACACCGTCTCTGCCACCTGTGACCTTGAGAAGAAGATAGCGTTACATCATAGTCTAGTTCAGTTGGAATGTTACTCAAATAAATTATATGCGCAAGCATAAGCAAGCAAATAAGTGACCTACTGGGGGGGGGTAATTGCAGACACGGAAATACATATGTAAAAACAGAAGAACATATGTGGAACAAACAGGATCATAAGAAAACCATTGACAGCTTGCTGGCAGGCAGGCATTGGGAAAGGGGTGTCTTGGTGGGCCACGGGCACCCGTTGGGGACCCCCCCCGTTTTTTCCAGTGCTCCCCCAAATCAAGGTCTTCAGGCTTTTTCCTTGTGTTCATTTGGAAAAAGTGACATGATTTATAAGTCAAGGTTCTTCTCACTCTGAAAGGGGGAAAATATTCCTTAGGAGTCTTTCTTTTTTAAGTGCGTCCCCAAATTTTCCAATTGGAAAAGGGGAGGGGAGTCATTGGGGGGGGGAAAGGAAGAGGTGGGTTTTTTGTCCCCTTCCCAGCCACACAAAGCCACCCCCTGCTACAGTTTACAACCCCTGCCTTGAGCTGCACACCGAGGAGAGCACCGTGAGCCCCCTCGAGAGCATAAGGCGGCGGCATCGACCACGTATACCGAGAGCGACTGCAGACATGGAAGCGGAGGGAGCACAGGAGCTGCTTCCCCTACGCTGTGGAGTCCTGTGAGCAAAAATTCTACTCAGTGAGCTCCTGGCATTAAAGTTCTGAGCGAGCGACTTGGCTGCTGCATGAATCATTTTGCTCTGGAGCCCTCCTTCCTGAGCCGAGACAAAAATGCATGAGCTGGAGGCAAAAAAACGGTGAGCTAGCTCACACTGACTCAGCTTAGAGGGAACACTGGGACCGGGCACTGCAAAGTGCCACAGAGAGTTCAGCAGATGGAGCCTAAATTAAGCTTACAAGCATTTGGTGACAGGGGAAAGCAGAAAAGAGAGCCGCTGCACTTTTTGTGATGATCTCTATAGGTGAGGGAACCTGCATTTTTAAGAGTGGGTTTCTGATGTCCCTTTCATGGAAGGGACCTAAATTAAGCTTACAAGCATTTGGTGACAGGGGAAAGCAGAAAAGAGAGCCGCTGCACTTTTTGTGATGATCTCTATAGGTGAGGGAACCTGCATTTTTAAGAGTGGGTTTCTGATGTCCCTTTCATGGATACTGGGGTTACAAGAGCCAAAAGTCAGGAATAGTTGCCAAGTTCTTTGCCAGAAACAGCTGGACAGAGCTACATGCAGTCCGTACAACAACTAGGCTGTAAGTGTGGTTGCCAGCCTCCGGGGGGTGCTTGGAGATGTCCTGGAATTACAACTGATCTCCGGACGATGAAAATGTTCCCCTGGAGAAAACGGCTCCTTTGGAGGGCGGACTCTGCCTATGGCATCATACCCCTCCCACCCGAGTTCTCCCTCCCCCTCCCCAAACCCCGCCCTCCCCGGGCTCCACACCCCTCAAGGTCTCCAGGAATTTCCCAACCCAGAGTTGGCGACCCCAGCTGTGAGGCTGCACAACCAGACCCGAGCAAGGGGGTGGGCAGCGCAGGGACAGGGAGGTGGCCTGGAAGCAGGTGGCCTGTCACTGGGACAGAGCTCGGACCCCAACGAAAGGGAGGGAAACAGTGTCAGATAGGCCTGAACTAAGGCGGGGGGGGGGCGGGGGGGGGTGCTTCCCAAACTTGAGACAGGCGGAAGGGGGAGACCCCGGCCCCACTAGTCACATTTGGTCCAGCAACAACATTTACCCCCGAGCTGCACTAGCGCTTCTCCAAATTCCTCCGTGGCGGGAGGGGAGGGCCAGGGCCCCACTGCCCCAGATCCACACAATTAAAACCGCCTAGGCCATGAAGACGGGTCTCCGTTATTCATCACTGGCCCGAGGGCACACCTCCCACTCTCTCTGCTTAAGAGCCTGAAGAGCGACTCCCGGCTGCAGCAGACCAGACGTGGCGGGGGGGGGGACACCCGTGGGGCAACTCTGGCACCAGGCGCCTCCAGAGCCCTGCTCTCCTTCCAGAGGAAAGCCCCTCACGCAGGAAGCTGCCTCATACTGCATCAGGCCCCCCCCCCCGGTTCATTCAGGCCAGCATTGTCTACTACGGGCAAAGAAAGGTGTTTCCCATGACATACCACCTGATCCTTTCCCCAGGAGGTGCCAGGGACTGAACCGGGGACTTCCTGCATGCCAAGCAGAGGCTCTGCCCCTCCTCCAATCACACAGCTCTCCCCTGGACAGGCATGCAGCTGCCCCCCCCAAAACCATTTGTTTCACTTACCTGCAAAAGCAATGGCTGCAACACCCAGACCAACGGCGATCATAGATCTAGCCTATTAAACACAAAAATAAGCAAAGATATCAGACTGTGACCAAAAAAAGTCCGGGCATTTTAAAAGAGACTTCACTTATACAAGTCACAAAAGCAGGCACATCCTTCCCTTTCCCCACCAGGACGTTCCTCCACCCCCGTGCTGCACCCCCCCCTCCTTCCAGCCACCCCAGAGGTGAGGGACTCGGAGCTTTCCTTAATAAGGCCCTTCTGTCCTCAGAATGAGGAGGGGTGCCTTCAGAGACAAGCGGGGATTTGAATCCCATAAAGGGCTGCCACCTGGCTGACAGGAGAGAAATGTCCGGTCCTTTCAGTAGAGGCTTAATGGGATGTTATTTACCAGACAACCATGCCGTGGAAAGCCTCAAGGGCCCATTTCCACACATTAAGCCTCTGTTGATGGGATGGGACATTCCCCCCAGGCCTGACGGCAACCCTAACCCCACACTGCCCAGCCCTCGAGGGGCACTCCAACCCCTGCGTGGCGGAGGTAAGCGGGAAGAAGGAATGGGAGGCTGGGGCAGGGCTGCCTTGGAGGACAGCCCACTAAGGAAGGAGCCGAGACGCGCAGGCTCTGGAGGGAGGAGTCCCAAGCAGTGTTCCCTCTAAGATGAGTTAGTGTGAGCTAGCACATAGTTCTTTAGCCTCCGGCTCACACATTTTTTGTCTTTGCTCAGGAAGGATCCAGAGCAAGCGAGGCGGAGGAGGAGAGGAGGAGAAGAAGAGGAGGAGGAGGAGGAAGAGGAGGAGGAGATTGGATTTATACCCTGCCCTTCACTTGGAGTCTCAGAGCGGCTTACAACCTCCTTTCCCTTCCCCTCCCCACAACAGACACCCTGTGAGGTAGGCGGGGCTGAGAGAGCTCTTGACAGAAACGGCTCTTTTTCAAGGACAGCTGGGCCAGAGCTTGCGACTGACCCAAGGTCACATCAGCAGGTACAAGTGGAGGAGTGGGGAATCAAACCCGGTTCTCCCAGATTAGAGTCCGCACACTGAACCACTGCACCAAACTAGCCATATTGCTCGCTCACAACTCTAATGCCAGCAGCTCACAGAGTAGAATTCTTGCTCACAAGACTCCACAGCTTAGAGGGAGCCTTGGGACTCCCGAGGAGTATGCGGAGCCCAGCACAGCCCACGCTCTGATCCGATCCAATGAAGCAATGAAGTCCCTGAGTGCCGGCAATGGCTTCACACCAGCTCTCATTCCAACCTGGACACGCTCCCATCTCCAGCCCTCTCGCCTCCTCCCATCTGCTGTGATTGGTGCAGCACCAATTCCACTTTCCCCAGACTCTGCCCACCTCTGCCAAGCCCGTGAAAATCAAAGTCCCCTTCCCCTTGCCAGCTTGCACAGGCCACTCTTGTGTGCCTCCCACCTGGGCGCCCAGTGTGTGTGTGGGGGGTTCCAGTGCACTCATCAGGCCAAGCTCCCCTCCCTCTTTGGATGTGCTGCCCGGAACTGCTGCCCCCCCCCCGCCACAGTCTGTGTGCCTGCCTGACCATCAACAGGACTGCTAAGCCATCCGTGACTATTCCCCGATGCTGAAACCTAGAGGTAACACTCCCCCACCCCCGCTTAACACTCTGCTTATCCCTTGTCCCTTCTCTTATGCTCTGAGGTCAGGGTCCCCAGCCTTCTTTGAGCCCGTGGGCACCTTTGGATGTCTGACAAAGGGGGGGGGGGTGCAGCCACGACATGGCTGCTTCAGGAGGTGGAGCCACACAGAGGATGCCCAAGTGCAGGGGGAAAGATGAAAAATGCACTGGGAATCTGCAGAGAGAGAGAATAAAACCGACACTGTTGTGGCAGCTGCCACTGAAACATTATTTTAATCTGCACAACCAATCAGATCTCCAACGACCAATCAGAAGTGCTGCTGGGCAGGAACCCCACATAAACCTCACCCCCTTGCTAAGAATACTTGGTGGGCACCAGGAAAGGTGTCAGCCTGCACCACGGCGACCACGGGCACCACACTGGGGAGGTATGCATGGCTTGGTGGGCATCAGGACTGGGTACTGATACTAATGCACTGCAAGGCTGTTTCTTGCCCAAGTGTATCGGGACATTCTCAGGCTGGCTTGCCTATGTACCTAATTCTCTCCAGTGTATTCTCTGGTGATTTCAATTCATTACAACCTTCACTTTCCTGGCTAAGCCTGCTTTGGAGTTCTGTCACCTTCCGATCCCAAACCTCTGGGCATGCAATATTCGATCTCCTCCACTGGAGCCTGGACCGGAGCTCTTTTGGCACAGACTCACAAGTTTACATGTGCTGCCTCAATTGCATTTGGAAACAAGTGCCAGCATGGCTAAATGACAAGGAGCAGAAAACCGGGATACATGGACCATTCTCTCAGGGGAGGGGAGGAAGCCGTGAGGTCTCATTTGGATCGGTACTGGGGCCGGTGCTCATCAATGTGTTCATAAATGATCTGGAACTGGGGGTGAGCAGAGTAGGGGCCAAGTTTGCAGGTGATGCCAAATTATTCAGGATGGTGGAAAACAAAGTAGATTATGAAGCGTTACATGAGGATCTCTCTAACCTGGCTGAGTTGGTAATAAAGTGGCAAATGAAGTTCAGCCTAGGTAAATGCAAGATAATGTATATTGGAACAAAGGCCCCTAATTTCAAATCTATTGGGATATGAACTGGCTGAGAACAAGGCTGACGGAGACCCTGGGGTTGTCAGTAGAAAGCTAACGGGAAATGTGGGCTCAGCGTGAGGAACTGGCGAAAAAGGCGAACTCCATGCGGGGGATTTTCATGAAAGGCACCGAGTAACCGTCTGTGCTTGGGAGGGGAGGCAGCACGGCACAGCCCAGTCTCCTCAGATCTCGGAAGCTCAGCAGGGCGGGTACCGGGGTGGGAGACCACCAAGGAAGGCTCTGCAGCAGGCCCCAAGCAAGAACATTTTTGTTAGGCGGCAATTTTTTTTTGGTTAGGAGGGCTGTGGTCGTGCTCCACGGAGGAAGGCCATGGCAAGCCACCTCGGCTTCCCACCTGCCCCTTGAATGCCCCTTGCTGGGGCTGCCATAAGTCACCTGTAACTTGGTAGCATTTCACACATTCACACAGATCCATGGTGCAGCCTCATTGGGAATGCCGGTGCCTGCCGCTCTGATCCCTGCACGTCACAAAGGACATCGCAGAGCTGGAAGGAAGTACAGAAGAGGGCGACCAAGACAACCAAGGCATTGGAACACCTCCCCCATGAAGAAAAAGCAGAAGTGTTTCGGACTTTTCTTACCTGATTATGAAGAGGGGGACAGGATAGAGGTTTATAAAATGATGTGTGGGGTAAAGAGAGCAGACAGAGAGAGCTTTCTCTCCCTCTCCCCAAATGCTAGAACTCAAGGGCATTCAGTGAAGATGACAGGCAGCAGAATCAGGACAGACAAAAGGAAAGACTTCTTTACACAGCGAGTGACTAAAATGTGGAATTTGCTGTCAGAGGATGTAGTGATAGCCACAGGCATAAAGGTAAAGGTAAAGCTTCCCTTGCTTGAAAGCCAGTCGAGTCCAACTCTAGGGTTGCGGTGCTCATCTCCGTTTCAAAGCCGAAGAGCCAGCGCTGTCCGAAGACATTTCCGTGGTCATGTGGCCGGCATGACTAAACACCAAGGCACACGGAACGCTGTTACCTTCCCACTGAAGTGGTACCTATTTATCTACTTGCAATTTCTTGCTTTCGAACTGCTAGGTTGGCAGGAGCTGGAACTAGACGGGAGCTCACTCCGTCATGCGGCGCACTCGGGTCTCGAACTGCTGAACTGCCGACCTTCCACAGCCTGCAATTCAGCGTCTTAACCACTTGAGCCACCGCAGCTCCTACTGGCCACAGGCATAGACTGCTTTAAATTAGGCAGATTCATGGAGGATAGGGGTCCATCAGTGGCTACTAGCTACGGTGACTAAAGGGAACCTCCATGTATCCTGGTGCCAAGAGGCAACCATCTATGCCCTATTGTTGGTCCTCCAGAAGAACAGTTTGGTTACTGTGTGAGACAGGAGGCTGGGCTAGAGGGACCCTCATTAGTCTGATCCAGCGGGGCTCTTCTGATGTTCTTAGGTTCACAAAGCTTGGGTCTTACAATACTCTCTATAAAGTAGGAAAAGTAGAGAAGAAATTTTATAGTGCAGTATAGGCCAGCTCACTCAGACAGTAGCTATTGCATTGCTCCTAAATTATTTTCCAGCCTTATGCTTAAATTTCTATACTGTTCATTTCTGTATAAAAATCTCTCCACAGGTTCTCTACAGGTTTTATTAAAGCATCTGGTCTGCAAGCAACGTGTATTTAAAAAATAGAATTCTGACTCAACCTTCATCGTGCCGGTTCAGAGAACTCTATTTTGTTCTCCTGCCTATTGCCAACGAACAGCTAACAACACACTGTACCAGTTCACAGCTTGCCTTCACTCCCCACAAAAACCACATTAATATTCCTTAAGACCCTAGCAGATGTACCACTTCAAGTGATTACCATTCACTGTTGGAATTCTTGTCATGTTTTGCCTTGTTACAGAAACCCAAGTCATCATTTTCAAGAATAATTCTTTCCACTTGTGTAGTAGCATCTTTAATCTAAGCCTCTTGAAGCAGTTTACAAACATTAATTCTTACAATAGGAGGCACATGGTAATTAGGCGGCTTGTGTTGCTAATGGGAAAGGGCGATGTTTGTTGGCCCTGGCCTTCCACACAGGATGAAAGAAAGCAGGTATTTTATATTTACATGACAAAGAGGCAGCATCACAGCACAGGCTGATCAGGAAGGGTCTGGTGGCAAAGAAGTTAAGCGTCTGTAGGACCTCTGCACTCTCCGAACAGCTCTACTGCTCCGTGATGGGAATGAGTTGCTTACATTTAAGATGTATTCCCTACCCCTTTTTAACAAAAATATTTTTCCCTTATAGGAAACTTTGTATTCATCAAAAATATGTAAATAACCCAAGAATGTGTATATTTTAAATTAACGTAAAATAGATT